CCATGGTGTACGTATACCCATTTTATTAATCCATTCTTTGATTGATGGGCACTTGGGCTGTTTCCACAGCCTTGCAATTAGAAATTGTGATGTATAAACATTCGAGTGCGAGCGTGCTTTTTGGTAAGATGTCACTGATCATTGGGTAGATGCCCAGCAATGGATGCTGGGATCAAATGGTATTATTGATCGCTTTCAAGGTATCTCCATATTGCTTTCCACAGAGAGTTGAACTAGTTTGCAGTCCACCAGCAGTGTAGGCAGTGTTCTCTCTTCCGCAACCACGCCAGCATTTATTGTTTGGAGATTTTTGATAAAGGCCCATTCTCACTGGGGTTAAGTGATCTTCATTGGGGTTTTGATTTGCATTTCCTGATGATAGAGATGTTGAGCATTTCTTCATATGTTGTTGGCCATTCTTCTGTCTCTTGTAGAAAAATTTCTGTTCAAGTCCTTATGCCCCACTTTTTAATGGGGTTATTTGGATTTTTCTTCCTAATTTTCGTTGAGGTTCTAATATAGTGGTTCAGTTATCAAGCCTATCGGATGCATAGATGCAACACATTTTTCGTCCATGTCTGTAGGTTGTCTGGCTTTACTTTCACTGGACTATCTTCTTTGGCTGCTGCAGAAGTTTGTAATTTGATCGATGTCCCATATTATTTGCTGTTTCTTTGCGTGTGATTGCCTTTGGGAACTTTTCATAAACTTTTGCCAGGGCGCGCATTCTAGAGATTGTTCCGACACTTTTCCATCTAGAGTCTAATAGTTTCATATCTTAGTTTAAGTCTGTTATCCGCGTGAAAGGGGTTGGTTTGTGAGAGTGAAGGTTGTCGGGTCCTGTTTTAGCCTTCTACACGGCCGTGGCTATCCAGTTTTCCCAGCACCATTTATTGAAGAGGGATTCTTTCCCAGCGTATGTTCTTTCGTCCTGCTTGTCAAAAGATTGGAGGATGGTCTATCTGAGGATGTTTTATACAGCGATCTCTCACCATTCTCCACTGTCAATATTTCCTGTTTTGTGCCAATACCATATTGTTTTAATTACTTACGGCTTTTAGTATAGTTTGATTATCTCGGCCAATTAATGCTCTCCTTTGTTTTGTTGCCTAGAATTGCTCTTGATATTGGGGTCTTCTTTCGGTTCATACGGGAAGCGAAAATTTATTTTCTATATCTGTGAAGAATTGTGATGGGTTTATAGGTATTGCATTCGAATCGTAGATCAGTTTGTGGTAGTATAGACATTTGAGTTGATATTGCAGTCCTGGGCGATCCAGCGCGGAGCATCGGTCATGATTTGTCCACCGTGTTTACACACTGCTAGTATTTCCTTCCTCCCCAGGTGTTCATAGTTCTCCTGTAAGGTCTTTTACCCTCTTTGTTAAATATATTCCTAGGGTCTTTAATTCTTGGTTGCTTTGTGAACGGAATTGATCTTTGATTTGGTTCTCAATTAGATTGTTGTTGGCGTATACTGAATGCCTCTGATTTCTGTTATTGATTTTGTATCCTGAGACTTTACTAAATTCTCATTGATCAGTTCCAGGAGTTCTTGGTTGAATCCTTGGGGTTTTGTAGATAAATATCATATATCAGCCAAACAGTGAAAGTTTGGATCTATTCATGCCCTTATTGGATACCTTTGATTCCATTTTCTGTCTGAATTGCTGTAGCCAGACTTCAGCACTTAGTTGATACAGAAAGTGGGGAGGAGTTTAAGACTCAGACTTTTGGGGGGAGGGGGGGAAATGGGCATTTATTGAAACCTTAAAATCTGTACCCCCATAATATGCCAAAATAAAAAAAATAATTAAAAAAAAAAAAAAACCAAATTATTCCTGTTCATTTCCAGCTCTAGTATCATTGGTCCAGTAGCCATCCCAACAGTTACGTCCGTTCTAATTTGCCAGGATGGTCTCTCCAAGTTTTGATCTTTTTCCATAGGCGATATTTGACCAAACCAATAGAGAAAACATATAGTTCTTCCAGGGACTCTCAGTTCCTTCCATTCTGCTCTCTTCCCCTCAGCTCTGCATCCCATGGATCTCCCCCTGGATTCCACAAACAGAGAAAAAAGGACAGAAAAAGCCCCCATCTGCCTATTATGTTTATTAGCGTGACATTTGCTGAAGGTTTCTAATTGTTGTGAGTTGCATCACAGTTTGTATTTTCAATTCTTGTTCACTTAAATCCATGGTTCATGCATTTCCTAATCTAAGTTGTTTAAGCCTTAGAAAACATCACTAACTATCATAGAAATACATACAAATATTTTAGATGTAGACCTGTTTTTACAGAAGACACTTGCTGAATCAAAAATACTTAAATAACAACTATGTTATCAACCTCTTCTAACGCCTACATCTTAAATACTCTACAAATACTTGTCTTTTTTACTATAAAATTTTGCCTTCAAGTCCTGCTCACAGGACAAAATGATACAAATTTATTTCCTCTTATTCAGAACATTTCACATAACAACATTAAAAGTGTGTACACAGCTAGTATAAAGATATTTTTAGCCGAGTGCGGTGGCTCACACCTGTAATCCTAGCACTTTGGGAGGCCGAGACAGGAGGATTGCATGAAACCAGGAGTTTGTGACCAGCCTAAGCAACATAGCGAGATCACATCTTTACAAAAATTAGAAAAGTTAGCTGGGCATGGTGGCTCACACCTATAGTCCCAGCTTCTCAGTAGGCTGAGGAAGGAGGATTGCTTGAGCCCAGAAGTTTGAGGCTGCAGTGAGCTATGATGATGCTACTCTACTCTAGCCCCCACAACAGAGTAAGACACTGGCTCAAAAAAAAAAATTTTTCATTAATTGCAACCTTCAATCCTAGGGAGAGAAAAGCAGAATGGGCCTTCATAGGAGGTAGTCACAGGAAGATTTCAAGAAGATGGAAAGGATACCCTAGGTATCCTGTGTAAGTATTGGATCAGATGACTTCTCAGATCCCATCAAACCCAGTTATTTTATTATCTTGTAAGGCTTTCATGAAGTTCTCTCCTTTTCAAGCATCCTCATCAGAGCACCTTTGACTTCTTTGTTCCTCAGACTATAGATCAGGGGGTTGAGCATGGGATTGAATAGGCTGTGAAACAGCAGGAGATATTTCTTCTGCTCCTCAGGGTTCCCATCTTGGGGCCCAACATACATGATAATGGCTGTGCCATAAAAGAGTCCAACCACACAGAGGTGGGAGGAGCAGGTGGAGAAGGCTTTCTGGCGCCCCTGCCCTGACTGGATCTTTAGGATGGCACAGAGGATATGCATGTAAGATATCACAATTGAAGAGAAGGGTCCCACCAGCACGGATACTGCCCCCGCCAAGACCATGACCTCATTAATGTGGGTATCTGCACAGGCAAGTTTGAGAACAGCTATGATTTCACAGAAAAAGTGATTAACTTTCTGGGGTCCACAGAAGGGCAATGGTAGGAGTAACACTAGATGTACAAGGGCCAAGAGGACTCCTAAAATCCAGGAAGTCACTGCCAGAATGATGCAGACTCTCCAGGTCATGACAGCAGAATATCGGAGAGGGTGGCAGATGGCCACATACCGGTCATAGGACATCACCACCAGGAGAAGACATTCCGTGTGTGCAAAACTCAAAAAGAGAAAGGTCTGTGTCAAGCAGCCAGCAAAGGAGATGGGCTTGGTGGGGTCCAGGAGATTCACCAGCATCTGGGGCACCGTGTTGCAGGCATAGGCCATGTCCACGATGGCCAGGTGTGAGAGGAAGAAGTACATGGGGCTGTGCAGTCTGGAGTCCAGGGAGATGAGGCCCAGGATGACCCCGTTCCCCAGCAGGGTGAGGACATAGAACAGGGAGAAGAGCCCAAAGAGAAGCATCTGAATCTTTGGGCCAAGTGGAAATCCCAGGAGAAGGAACTCTGTGATGGAAGTCTGATTTTCTCCCATTTCCCTGTGAAAGAGACAGTGGAGCTCACCAAGTCTGAATGTCTGAGGCAAGTGTTTAAAAAGTGCAACTATGTGTGTTATTGTTTGAGTGTTTCCTAAAGAAACACCTTCAATAATATTTTGACATCCTAGTCACTTACTAAGAAAACTATGCATAACAAATGAAGTAGAAGGAAATCTTGTCACCTATGATAAATTCAATGCTAGTATTATATTACAATATGCAGTAAATCTTATTTTATTTCTAAATCAACTTTCACCCCAGTTCTCAACATGTTGATACAATAAATTGCTCTGATAGCAGTGGACACTTTCCTCAGTTTGTGATGATTATATCAGATGTTCGCCCTGTTGTATTTCTACATTGCGGTGTACATGTATCCTCATGAGTGAATGTGTGCTGGTGTCTATATATCTACATATGAGCGTGGGAAGAAGGATGAGGAGCATGTCAATGATCCTTCTAGCAGATTTTCTCACAAATTTGTGCCTTTAATATATAAATTTTTTGTTAGACTTGTGATCTTTACTCATACTATAATCTTGAATCAAGTTGAGAGAACAGCAGCTTGCTACAACTTTGCATTTAAACAGAGACCTTTGTCTTTTGACTTTTGTACCCACAGATGGTCCACTGTTCATGTTGTTTCATTATCAGAATGTAGTTACCTGTCACCCCTCTTATACTCTATATGCACATTTATATTCCATATTTGTCTATATATATATATTTCTACTTATCTATACTTGGAACTTTCCAAAATTTTTGGTACATCCTACAGTAAGAAATGTCTACCAAGTACATACATGCATGACTGTATGTATACTTGAATCCTTACTTGGTGTAATGCACTTGTTATTTTCTGTTTTATTCCATTTTAGTCTACTCTTTTTCATTAGTAAAAGTGCTGATTGAATTATTTTATGGTGGGTCATAGCCTGCAATTTAAAAACATACTCATCTACATCCAAGGCTAGAGTCAAGACTTAAACCATAGACTTGTGTTCATAGAATCTTTAATATATTTTATAGATTGTTAACTATAATGTAAAAATAAATATTACTTACAGTGAATCTTTATTCTTTTGTGGCTTCTTAAGTGTTTTAAAATCCTTCCATAAGAATGGGTATTGTGAGGTTTAAATCATGGTAACTTCCAAACCATTGCTTCTGGTTTTTGCCTATCTGACTCTTTAGCCTTTTGTAGTCCACAATCCATATGAATTTCACTAAAATAAGAATATCAGAAAAATCCATAATTCAGTTCCTATCAATGAATTCTCCATTGAAGTTTTCTGAAAAGCTAACATTTGAAAGGTTTCATAAGCAAAAGTGAGTAAACTTTTGCCTTGCTTCAAAGGAAGAGTCAGAATTCAAAGTAGAAATTATTGGAAGGTGGCATTATCTTAGCCCAAGAAATAACTTTATAATGATTGAAATCACTTCCTTGAAATCTGATTGTTTTATTAGGACCACATTTTGTGCCAGTGAATGATTTAAGTCATAGATTGATTAACCATCTATTCAAGATGGTATTCCTATGTCATGTGAGAAGAGGAACTAGAAGAATGCTGAGGTCCCTTCCAACTATAGGACTCAGGGGTCCCAACTGCCTGAAAAAGTGTTATCCGTTCTTACTTGAACTTTCTTGCAATATTTAGGGCCAATCAAGAGAGCCATGCTGTTTCTAAAATTTCATATGATAAGGCACACAACAAAGCAGAAGGACCAAGGGCGTCACCTTATCTTTCTCCTGCTCGAAGTAGCTAAAGCACAAAATATAAAATTCACAAGTATTAACCGAACATGTACTATGTCCTGCTACGTGTCTCAGCTGAGGGTATGTAAGACAGTTCTTGTTTGCTGGCACATTCAACCTGCTTGGATTGATAAGCTTGTTAAAAGGACTCACAAATATGATAATTCTCTTGTCTAAATAACTCAGAAAAAGGAATTTTACATTGAAAAGTAAAGGCTTCAGGACACTCTTCTTATGTAACATAAACTTATTTTGTAGCTGATTAGCTCCATTATTTTATGAACTCACTACTTAATTTTATGAGGCAATAGAAACTTTTATAAGGAAACCCCTCAAACAGCTATTTTACCTTACAATTTAAACAACACATTCAACACCAAATGCATCAAAGTAAATCATCCATATTAGGTGTATGGATTAAGTAGAAAACATTTAAATGATTCTAGTAGCTAAGTCTATAACAGCAGAAACTTGGCATTAACAGACAATAAGAATTATCTGCATTTTGAATTGTGATTTTTAATTACAGTTCATTTAAAATTGCATAATGAATAAAGATGGAATAATATAAGGAACTCACCGCAGACTTATAACTAAAAACAAGAAGACAAGCTGGATATGAGTTGAATAAAACTTGACTAATTAGTAAAATGCTTCTATAAATTAATGTTGAAACTCTTTCCTTCCAAGAAGTTCCTTGGAAGAAAAAGTGCACCAAGGAAGACTAGATTTTTCTCAGAAGAGATGGTTTTATTTTCTGCTTAGCTCAACCACCTCTCAATATGCTCTGAACCAAGACCCCTCATATACACTGCCAGCTGCTGCCTTCCAGAGAAAGGGTTTTTTTCTCTGTACTTGTCTCTGATTTTCCCTGGAAGGACATTCATCAAAAAAAAAAAAAAAAAAAAATGATGATGATTTCTCACTGTCTATAGGGTCCATGATCAGAAGTTTAAAAAGCAGTGGAATGACTTTAGGACCCCTTCATATCTTATAGTTTCCCCAAGCTTGGATTTATTAAGATTTCAAGAACTCCAAAATTTCTCCACCTACTAACCCTCCAAAGAGAGTAACTGGTGTTTAGAGCAGGTGGAACCCATATCTTATTCTCATCCTCTCTAGTGCTGGCTGAGTTTTATGTTATATCTGACCTGAACATGTATCCTATATATAAATATATTTTTTCATCCAGGCTCCTCAAAGAATATAATTCACAAAGTAGGACCAGGTAGAAAGACCCATAGAAGCTTTGGGGAACATGTTAAGGAGTCAGGAAAGAGGATAAGGTATCCCAACAAGAGTTATTAAACCCTATTTATAGGATTTAACTGGAGCACAAACAAAAGAAGCAAAATTCTCACCAGGAAACAATCTCTATTCTTTAATTTCTAGTGTTTTGGAGCCCAGGGGAGAACAAGCAGATCCCTCTAGGTCTGTGACTACTATTATTTCTCTTTCTTCTGAAATAAAAATGAACCAACCCTGTTTCATAATTTCAGGGAATGCAGCTGAGACAACCTGATGGTGCCTTTGTGGTTTAAATTCCTCTTTTATTCCTTTATCTAAATCCATTCTCATGCTCAAATATAAAGGAGGCGGACTGTAATTTCCTAAATTAAAGTCATTTCAGTTTTCATACCAACCAATTAAGCTAGTAACAGACCAATTATTTTCTACCCTGGGAGAGCTCACCTGCAGTAGGTCCGAAGTGGGCTTTTCCCCATTAGACCTGTCTAGTAAGAGGCTTGTCAGTGACTAGAGTGCAGGTCGTGACCTCATGTACTAAAAAGATGCTGCGCTCTCATACTGATGCCCAAGGATAGCTGGTGTCTAGAGATGAACAGTCACTACTGCCTAGTATGTGTTCACGGTCTACTATGTTAAACATATAAACTCACTAATTACATTTCCTCCTTTTCTATGTCTAATTTTACTACTATAAAATTCTTCTATTTGCCTTATTATTTTTTCTTTGTATTTATTTTTTATTTCAGTACATTATGCGGGTACAAATGTTTAGGTTACATGTATAGTCTTTGCCCCACCCGAGTCAAAGCTTCAAGCGTGTCCATACCCAATGGTACACACTGCACCCAGTAGGTGTATATATACCCATCCCCTCCTCTCTCCTCCCACCTGCCTGATACCTGATGAATGTAACTACTACATGTGCACGTGTGTGTTGATCAGTTAATACAAATTTGATGGTGAGTATATGTGGCCCTTGCTTTTTTTTGCCTTAAATTCTATTTTACCATATAATGATATATTTTGTTTGATATTAACAATGCTGTATTTGATATGTTAATACTTTACTTAAAATGTTTGCATTTGTATTCATTTTTGAGATTAATTCAATAAATGACTTTTCTTCTATTGTCCTTTTCTAGTTTCGTCTGAATGGTATGATAGCTTTATAAAACAAACTGTAAGAGATAGCTCTTTTTCTATTCTCAAAAGTTTTCATATAATATGAAAATTAGCTCTTCCTTGACGATTGGTAAAATTTACCTTTAATATGACTTGGTGGTCTTTGGTTATAGAAAAATTCTGTTTTCGCTTTTTTTTTCTATCCAAGTACATCCATCAATAATTGTTCTATTGAACACCTAAGGAAGATAATTTTCATTAGGCTTTGTCTTTTTCTTGCAAGATAGTTTAACTGAGTGTGAAATTGTACAATAACAGTTGTCATCATTTTGAGTATTCTCTTCTGGCATTTGTGTTGCTGGGAGGAAGTCTGCTATTACTTTGTTATTCTTTTAGCTATTTTTTTTCTCTGAAGTATTTACTATTTTTCTGTTCTTCCTAAATGTTCTGTACTTTCATTATACTGTCTAGACTTGAATTTATTTTTATCCATGGGCTTGATATTGAGAGTTCTCTTTTGTTTTGAGTATTCATGTGTTCCTCAATCAGGAAAAAAAACAACAGTAATCTGTTAACTCATTTTCTCCTTTATTATATTCCTATAAGATAAATGGATATTTTATCTCAATTTATTAATATTGTCTATATGCCTATGTGGGTTTTATTCTACTCTCTTAAAAATGGTCTCTGTTGCATTTGGGGCAAATTACATACTTCCATTTCACAAATTTTTTCTTCTAATTGCTCGGTCTAGAAGTTATCCTGTTTGTTGATTTTTTTTTATTAATATTTCAGAAAATGCAGTCCTTATTTCAGGGGGTGTATGTTTTATTTCTAAGATTTATAATTGTTATTTTTTAGGATCCACTTGTTATTTTATAACCCTTTTTCTTCTTAATCTTTTGGCCATCTAAAATAGTTGCCATGCCTTTAAAAAATCTACTTATGTTTTTGAAACTTAAAACTATGAAGTACTTATCAGATTGTTCATTCTTGAAGGCACAAAATGGACATCATTAGAAGTGAATTTATTTTAGGTTGTTGATATTTTGGGATGTTTTTCTTGGCAGCTTCTAAAAATAGATTCAAAGGTCATTTTATAGACTTAGTTTTTTTTTTTTCTCTCTCTCTCTCTCTCCTTCTCTCTGTCTCTCTCTTTCTCCCTCCCTCCCTCTTCTCTCATTTAGAGGATTAGGAGATTAGGAACTGTCTTGGCCTACCTCTTTGGGCTTCCTATCCATACCAGGATCTTACATCAATGATTTAGAATTATTTTTCTATAGTGATACTGAGTATATTGAAGCTCCTAGCACTAAGACAAGGTGGTTGGATTCCACATCTGGTTGCAATCCGGTGCCTGGGTGTTCTCAAGTCTTCAACCTGCAGTTCTCTGGAGGCTGTACAGCAGGCCACATATGACAGTGCACTTTTTGGCCTCCATTAGTAAGGAAATGGAGTCCCTCCTGCCCTCCTTCACATCCTACTTTCAAGGAAGGTGCTTGGCCTCAGTTTCCCATTATTACATGAAGTACTTCAATATCTTCAGTTCCCAAGAGCAGAGCTCTTTCCACTCAGGCCAGCTTCCAGACCTCTCAGAGGTCGGCATTTATGTTTTGTTTCTGGTCCACAGAGATGTTTATTTTGCCTTGGAAGCTGGTTTTATCATTTTCATTTCCACTGCTATGTATTTGAAGCAAAAGTTATTGAGCCACCATCCCTGGAGATCAGGCTAATATTTTAAAGTGTGAAACCACATATACCTGGAAATAAAGTTGTGATGGCAGTGTAGGAATTAAAGCAAGAGAACCACAGATATGGAGCTTATACAACTATTATTTTATACTTGAATGTTTGCTTTTGATGACTGCTTAATCCTTTGGAGAACAAGGCAGGATTGGAAAGATTGTGTTAGAGTTACCATTAAAAATCTTTAAACAGTTATAAGTTGGTTTAAAATAAGCTTAAACTGCCCCACAGTAAAAAATAAAATAAAGAAGCTTATTATAAAATCAAAATTTTTTCATATTGAAGAAACATCGGAAAGACTCTACTCCTAATGCCTGTTCATTGTATCCATATTTCACTCAATCTCTGTCTCTACTTATAGTAGGCTATACACCAATCCACAAAACCTCATTATTGGCTAACTTATAATTTTCAAAAATATTTTCCTATATTGATTTTAATGCTACCATTCTATAAACCTATTTATTGATTCTAGTTTTTCCCTTTGATGAAAGCAGTGAACAACCACTTTGCCTCTTCTTACAGGATGCTCTGTGGGACATATTGCATTACTTTTCTGTCTCTTCTAGGCTAAACATTTACAGTCATTTAAAAAATTATTCATGTCCATTCATTTATTTGTTCATTTAGATATTTCTTCTCTCTCTCTCTCTCTCTCTCTCTCTCTCTCTCTCTCTCTCTCTCTCTTCATTCTTTTAGAAGTAGAGTCTTGCTCTGTCATCCAGGCTGGAATATAGTAGTATGATCACAGCTCACTTCAACCTCAAACTCCTGGCCCCAAGGGATACTCTTGCCTTAGCCTCCCAAGTAGCTGAGACTACAGATATACATCCCCACACCTGGCTACTTTTCTATTTTTTGTAGAGATGGGGGTCTTCCTATGTTATTCAGGCTAGGCTCAAACTCCTGGACTCAGGGATCCTCCCACTTCAGCTTCCCAAGTAGCTGGGATTACAGGGGTGAGCCATCATGTCCAGCCTCTATTTCTTTTCTAATCTCACTAGCATCCCAACCAATAGTAAGGATAGGGAGACCAATACAAGAAGTAAGCCACTATGAGTGCTGAAATCTCAGCCAGTTAGCAAGGTACCGCAATGGTGAGTTTGTGTCTTTACATATAGACCCTGAAATTTCCTAGTGGAGTTATTGTAGGCACACAGTGGATGAGAATTCTTAGTGTGTGTGTGTGTGGGGGGGGGGGGTAGGAGTGAATGTAACAAAGGTAAGGACCAATAATTTTTGTATTTATTTCCTATCCTAGATGCTATCTCAAGAATACTTTTGGAATTGTAGCTGTGCATAGCAGGTAAAACTTTATACAGGATTTTTCTCATAGTTTTGTCTCCAAGCAGGAACAATGAAAACCATTGCATACCCACCCTCCTATGCACTGACCTTCAGCCTCCTTTGGTGGAGACCTTCCCCAATATTTCCAACCAAAGAAAAATAAAAACAAGCACAAAAATCTACAAACTCAAATCGCTGATATTTTTCAGAAATTACCATTGTTCAGTAAATATTATAATAATTTATGAATCATTAAAATAAAATTCGATTTTGTATTTCTGTAGATATTTAATCATGAATTTTACCAGCACTCAGTCTTACTATGAGATCATTTTCACTCTCATTATCCGTATATCTTTCTGATTAAAATAATCCCACATACATATCCCTTCAATTAAGATTCACATAAATTATATCATCTAGCATCCATTAAACTCAGAATCGAGAAGGATAAACTATTCTTAGAAGCAGAGCTATATATTTAGTCAGCTGTGGCACAATCGAGATGTGAATCCAAGATAGCTTTGGCCCGTGCTAGGCTCTTTTTTTCCCTTAGTCCTATGAGCCTGGAGCACTGATAAAGGAGCTCCATGGATCTGTATACGGGATATACAGGGAAGCTTCCTGGGAAAGCATCCATCACATCACAAAGGAAAAGAACACAGAGGGTTAAATGTGATGATATGAAGAAGACCAAAATTATAGGTAAGATCGGACATGAGAACAGCATGGTGTCTCCCATTCAGATCGCACCCTTTGGCGCAATGCCCTATGGCACCATGTGATTTTGCAGAAGAGCATGGAGAGGGAGTTGCTAGTAGGGAACGATTAGGCCACTGAAGTGAGGGTGTCTACTCTTACTGGGGATGCTAATGAGCATCCAAGGATATGCTGGCCAGAGGATGCATTCTTTCTCGTGTCAAGGATTGGGCTATAATAACATAAACTCTTTTTTTGTTCTGGACTCTGCCCCATCAGGTGGTTGCCGAGCCTAACCCATGTTGAGCTAAAATCCGTGATATTTGGGGAAGAAAGCTGATTTGAAGCAGTGTGGGTTTGCAATCAGTACAACCCATGTTTAACTTTCAACTTTGTCCTATTACTGGCTGTGTGGTGTAGGACAAGTTACTAAATTACTCTGAAATTTAGTTTCCTTATTTTTTAAATGGGGAAAATAATATCTACCTCATTGTGTTATTAGTGAAAGATAAATAGGGTAACATTCGTGAAGCACTCAGTAGAATTTCCAGTGTAAAGTAACACGTCTTTCTTCTACTTGCCCTTAGCCCTTTGAAAACTGAGTAATGTTGAAAGTATATAAAGAGGTCATAACACCAAAATATAATCTGTTTATTAAAATCCTAGAACTCAAATATTGAAACAATTAATAGATATATCTCATATACTCATGTATTTTCTGTAATTTATTTAAAAAAATATAGATATATTTCTATTGGAGCCACTGCTCAGATCTACCAAAGGACATTTCTTTATAATTCGTCTACACTAGCCTTGCTCTGCAGAAGCTATGTCTTTTTGGTCTATTCTTTCCCAAGCATTTTTGAATTGATATGGAATGAATGCCATCCCAATTTTTCTAATACACCCTAGGTGAAAAATTATGAATCCAAATCAATGATTATTTTTTATGTGAGAGAAACCATTCTATATGTTTTCTTTTTCTTTTCCCTTTTAGTTTTAACCATAATATAAAGTCTACATACTTTAGAGAATATAATAATTTTCTAGGTATAGTTAGAAAGTTCTTTTTATATGAAAATATTGCCTGTGTGTTTTCTTTTCTCCCTTCAGAGTAGGACACACAATAATTTCACAGTGCTTGATAGTTAAATTTAGAGCCAGTATTTATTTCTTCATTCAAATTGTTCTCTTCAGAAGGGGCAGAGTAGGTTGATGGATTTCTGTGGGCTAGCAAAGTCTTCTTGCTGTGAAGATAAGAAGACTAAGATAATAGCTAGAGACAAAATGTTTTCCCCAGATGAACTGAGAGGTAGAATAGTTAACTATCCTTTTGAGAACTAAAAATCGTGTATTCAGAGAGAGGGTAGAAGGAAAAAGTTTCCCCTTTGCTGCTTTATTTCATGAAAGAAGAAAGACATGGAATGATAATGATGTATGAGAGAACTAGGATGAAAAAATAGATCTACAGACGTCAGATAATATAATATCATCCTATGTCATACACTTGAATGGCACACAATACCAGGTGAGAGAGGAAGAGGAGAGGATGCAAAAGACACCATAGTCACTGTATTAAATCACATTATCATACTGTGCTGATCATTTGGGTCCCAAACTCATGTTAAAATAAAACAAATTACTCTTCCATATCATTCTGACCACTTGGTTCCAGGAAAAGTGATTTATGTCACCTACAGTAGGTGCTCTTTGGAATTTTGTTGAGATTCCCAAAAATCTTTGTCAGATTTGCTATGTTATTGGTTCTAAGTGGCAGTCTGCAATGTTACAGCAAGCCATCAGTTTCCGTAGATGCTTTCTTCCCTTGCAATGTTTTCATACTTTTCTAATATTTTATGTAATCACCGTAACGATGAATTGCCACTTATACCCAGCTTTGCAACCCAAATCCTGGAAAATGTAATTCTCCCAAATAACTTTCTCTCATATTTATTCTAAATTCAAATTCCTTCCAATATCTTTCTAATTAAATGGTGCAGAATTAAATGAAAGGAAACAAAAATCCTGATATTTCTCTGCCTTTCAAACTAAAAAAAGAATATCATAAAATTAAAATTTGGTTTTTACAGAAATGGATGATTTAGGCTCATTCAGATGAATTTCCAGTACTAATGTCAACAGCCTCAGACTTGAAGTTCCAGACCAGGCATTGGCTCTACTCTTAGTCTTGTTATAATACATTCCCAGTAGCGGCTGCTTAGCCAAGGTGAGCGTTTATTCTATTTTGTCAGAGATGTTCTTGTAGCAGCATATGTTGTGGGATTATTATTAAATAGCATAGACATAGGACAATAAGGGAGATGGAAATCACAAGGGAATTTAACAAAAAATTTGAGAGAACTGAGCTTCAAAGGAACAGAAGCCAGACCCTAGGTTGTGGTGGGAACTGGCAGGAGGGGTCCGTGGCTCTGCTCACATGCGCTGCCCTTCACCGCGTGGCTCTTCTCTCTATGCCTTTCTGTGGATGCTTTGTGGTCTGCACAGAATCCCACATGCAGAGACAGGATCTGACCAATATATATTCCTGATATCAGAAATCTAAGAGATAAGACTTTAAGGTATTTACATTGCCATTCCCACAAACTTCATAGAGAGAAAACCTTCTACCCTCAAGACTCTCCCTGGCCTCCTTCACCTAGATCTGTGTTTCCACAACACTCTTTTTAAGGCACCCTTGACCTCTGCGTTCCTCAGGCTGTAGATCAGGGGGTTCAGCATGGGGTTGAAAAGGCTGTAAAACAGGGAAAGGACCTTCTGCTGCTCCTCAGGATGGCGGGACTTGGGGGCCATGTACATGACGATGGCGCTGCCAAAGAAGAGCCCGACCACGCAGAGGTGGGAGGAGCAGGTGGAGAAGGCCTTTCTGCGGCCCTCCCCAGACCGGATGCTCAGGATGGCCAGCAGGATGCGCGAGTAGGAGACCAGCACCAGGCAGAGGGGCCCCACCAGGATGAACACGGAAGCAGCAAATATAACGACTTGGTTGAGCCGGGTGTCAGCACAGGCCAGCTTGAGGACAGACAGGATTTCACAGAAGAAGTGGTTGATTTCATGAGGTCCACAGAAGGGCAGCCTCAGGATGAGAACCACATGGACCAGGGCCAGGAGGGACCCACATGCCCAGGAAGTGACGGCCAGGACGGTGCACACTCTCCAGCTCATGATGAGAGAGTATTGCAGAGGGTGGCAGATGGCCACGTACCGATCGTAGGACATCATTACCAAGATGAGACACTCGGTGTGAGCAAAAGCCATATATAAAAAGGTCTGCATTATGCATGGGGCAAAGGAGATTGTTTTTTTCTTATTCAGAAGGTTTGCCAGCATCTTAGGGACATTGTTGGAAGCATATGAAATATCAACGATGGCCAGGTGTGAGAGGAAGAAGTGCATGGGGCTGTGGAGCTTGGAGTCCAGCCAGATGAGCCCCAGGATGACCCCGTTCCCCAGCAGGGTGAGGACGTAGAACAGGGAGAAGAGCCCACAGAGAAGCATCTGAATCTTTGGGCTGAGTGGAAATCCCAGGAGAATGAATTCTGAGACCCATGTCTGATTTTCTGTCATGCTCTGGTGACAATGCCTGTACTGGCCACTGCTGTGGCTGGGAGAGGTGTGCTGAGGAGTAGATGCAGAAGTGGATTAGTCATTAAACAGGAAGAGAGGGTCAATGGTGTACACGTGCATTGACTCAGTCAGCAATCTTTTCCAGAATCTGCATGGCAAATCATGTACTCCACAGTAAAGCAGAAAGAAACTCAGTTCAGGTAACTAGTATAAGTGAACATAGGGTATCATGTACTATTTCCATTTCTACAGAATTTTATTTAACTTTGATGGTGAGACCCACATTTTTACTATCATCATGGCAGCCACAGAGTAAACTGTTTCCCAGAATGATTAGCCATTTCATTTTTGAGAAAGGACCATATCCATGTTCTCATGTATTTTTCACTTCCTAACTTATTTAGTTCCCATAGTTTGTTCCTATTTTCTCTTCACCATTTTGTTTTCTCTTATTTTATAACTTGTGCAAGGTGCATTGCACTTTGCAGGTGCTCAATAAACAATCATAGAGGAATATATGAATGCATGAATGAAAGGATGAGGTTTACAAATGCAATTGCAAGTATGGCTGCTTCCCTGTATTTACTAGTTTTAGGGCTTTAGCAAATAAAGTTTACATTTAGTATTTTACTTCCTGGTGCTGCCCAGGAAAATCTGGCTATTTCCTTTCTGGGCATGAGCAAAGAGTGACATCACTAATATGGCCAGCATTCATGGAAGTAATTTCTGATATAGGGCCAGGGCAAGGGTTATCTATGTGAAAAGTTAAAAGTACAATATTCCTGCTCCTGCCTTCACCCCACCCCTTGCAGGGCTGCTTCCCTGGTTCTGAGTAGATACTGTCTCTGGTACAGTACCCCATTCAGTTGTTGAATGGAAGAATGGATGGATGGGTGGACAGAAGGCATTACATTAGGAATAACCTTGAAAGGGCATATCCTAGATTTTAATCGAGTCTTTCAACTCTTCTTTAATTTTCTTTGGCTGCCATTCCACCAACTGTATGGCCACAGAGGCTACAGAAGGGAAAACCTGAATGTTCATAAAAGTATGCAAAGGATAGCTTAACGTGTAGCTCATGACTCCACCTCTGCACCTATGAACATCTCAATGTGTAGCTTATGACTCCACCACTGCGAATGCTGACCCTATCTTAGGCCCAGAAAACTTCCTGACCATAAATTGACCCTGTGTCTCTCATTCAGTACACTGATTTCTGAAACTCTTCTATCCTCCAGACTCCAGCTTTTTTAAACTACCACACTTTGCAAAACATCCTTTACTCACTGTAGTAGTAGCTCTGGTATTGTCCCAGAAATAGGGTTAGATTTCGAAGTAATTGTACCAAGGTCAAAGGAGCTTTTGCAGGTCAGATCTGAGGATCTTGCAGCAGACTCTGAAAAAAGAGCTTCTCAGGTGCAGGACTTGTCACTGTTCTCTTAATGCAGGTGGTGCAGACTGCAGCCTGTTCACCGGAAACACCAGCAGAACAGGCTTTATGGAGGGATCATTTCCACCTCAACCCTCCCAGATTGTCCCTGAGGACAAGGACATATGGCACTCAGATTCCAGATCTACCAGGAGAACCAAAAGTTATTTGTCTTTCTGTCTCCATTTCTCTGGGCCCTGGGGATGGATGTTCAGAAGAAAAGGAGCTGGCAGGAGATGACTTAATACCCAGCTGGCTCCCTACACCTGGAACTCATGTAGTAAATATGTACTCCTGGACCACATTGCAAACTACACTCTCCTAGTATTTGGATGGTGATGGGCTGATGGATCTCAGTCTTGCCCAAGTTGGATTAAGTGGAGCTTCGAGGGGGCAGAGTATCATCCTCACGTGATAGTGGCTCAAAAATCTCCTTCTCCTTAGGTAGTTCTAACGCAGGTGTTGGTAGACATGAAAAAACACTTCTATTAACCTTTCCCACACTGGGGTGGGAAAGATTCTGAGGCCTTTCCATGGAGTATCTAAGATTGGATATAGGGCAAAGGAAGTAAGGAAAGACAGACATTTGGGTCAAGCCTTGAAGAGCTGTCATGGTAGAAGCCCTGGTGTTTAGAGGGCAGCAGATGTCTGATTCACATCTTTACTATGATGTCTTCATGAGTTTAGTGAAACCTCAGACTGAGGTGTTATAATTATATTCACATGATAAAGCAGAGACAGAGGATGCCCTGAAATATTTCCTGATTGTCTCTTTTATGTGCATATCTCTCATGCATGTGTGTGTGTGTATGTGTGTGTTTGCTGGTTGGTGAAAGTTTTGGAGAGAAACATCCAAAACTCATTTATCAGGACACATTTGGTTCTTTGCTCAAGAGAGAAGCATGTTGTTAATGTGTGAGCCACATGGTTCACTGCCACCAAGGGAGGGAAGGAAATATGCCTGTGGTTTTGGCTCACAGACCATAAAGGAGTCAAAGCAGGTATATTTTTATGGCCAGAATAATGAAGCTTGAGGAATAATTGTCCTAGAACCTCTGAAGGAGTGATAAGAAAAGTTTAGGAACTATGTACAGTGGTTAGAAAAAAATAGCCAAAGCATGTAAAAAAAATAAAATGAATTTATTGACTCCCTAAAACTGAAGAACTAAATAAAATATCACCAGGATGCTTTTCAATTATTCATATATTATCTACACATGGATGTTTTATATCCACAATTATCCCTGTGTAGATGCTTAATAATTAATCGTCCCATTCATTTATTAATCCACTCATGCAATTTACGTTTATTGGGCATCTTCCCTATGTAGGCATTGTCCTGACCCAGACATGGGAGAAGCAAACTTTAATAAGACACTGTCTCCATCTTCCAGGACTTGGCAGACTCCCTGCAAAGAGAGCCATGCAAATAAACAGTTTGGGGACTGTGATTCAAGTGTGTACTGTACACCATGGGACCAAGGGAGGGTGTGGTAGATTATTCCAAGAGGGGGCTGGGAAAGGCTTCACCATAGATGGATATTTAGAGATGCCTCAGGAAGACATCAGATGGATAGGGCACACCAAGCTGTACCTTAGGGTGTAAGGGGGACATAGGCAAAGATGATACTGGAAAAGGGGTTCACAGGCAAGCTTCCGCACCGTGTCAGAGATGCTGGACTTCATTGTAAATAATGAGTAGAATGATGTGACTCGATATGTGATTGCTAAGTTTACTTTTTGGTTACTGTGAAGGACTATTTAAAAGAATAAGATTGGAGATGTGGTCCAGACTACCTGAAAAGTCTGCGTGTTCAAGTGACAAATGGTAAGCAGCTAAGTGAAAGTGGTAGCCGTGGGGATGGGTAGGAGGGGATGGATGTGGAACTTGTAAAGGAAATACGATTAGCAGTATTTAGGGACTTTTGGTGTGTGGAGAGGAAACAGAGCAGAGCCAGGATGCGTCCCAGCTTTCTGGTTTGTGTGGCTACATCTAAAGTGTTTTCATTCACTTTTGTAGACAATGCCTGGAGAACAATGCAAGAGTTAAAATAAGAGTATAATTTTGAACATGATGGGTTTGATGTCCCTGGAATATATAGGTGAGCTTATTCAATAATGAATTAACTAAATTAATTTGGAGTTCGTTAGAGAATTCTGGGTCAAAGATATGGATTTGGGAACCATATGATTGTTAAAGTCATGATAACAAATAAGGGTATTTAAAGAGAGCAGTTTTAGTGAGAACAAAAAGGACAAGAACAATATCTTAAGAATAACCAATATTTAAGAGATGGAGAGAGGAAGCTAAATCTCCAAACGACAGCAAGAAGAAAGTTCAGAGAGAGAAGCAGCGAAACAAAAAAATATGAATGAAAGAAATCAGTGAGCTATGCTATTAATAGATGTCATCCCAGGAGGCAAACTAAGATACTCACTTTAATCCTGTGAGTAATTCTAAGTCTGTGTTTTAGGAGTGAGAATATTCTTCATGTAAAAAGCTGCACTGAACTTAATACTTGTAGTAAAATAAGATAAAACCAAAGTTACTACAGAAGACCAATGCTATCCTTCAAGAATAACATAGCACTTTTTTAGCTTCATTTCCCGTTTTCATTAACCTTTACAATAGTGAGCATTAAGTGATATGTATAGAAAATTTTAATTTCCAAAGAGCCTGTTATTAAGCTGTTAATGAGAGATATAATACAAAAGTGTGGCACTGCATTGTGAAAAGTAAAAGTAATTACTTACAAGTGAAATGAGGACTCGACAGAGAGAAGGTGATGCTAAGGATAAGGCAACTGACCAAAGGTTTCTAAAGTGAGGCTTATCAATAATTTACCCAGGCAGAAACCCACTGTGTTCAAAAAGAGCTTCTCACAGTGCCCTGGAAGTACACGTTATGCTCTGGCAACTCATAAACATTATTCTTAATTCCTCAGCACACTCAGAAAGGGTTGATGGTTTGAAAAGTAATGGAATTTCATACCTTCCTATTTCTTCTCCAGATAGGGGACAAAAGTCAACATAATTTCTCATATTTCCTGGGACTATAGAATAGCCTCAAAGGGAAGGAGAAAGAGACATCTCCAAACAGAGAAGAATCAGTATTCAATATTGAATGTATTAATAAATATAATTCCAAAAGACAAATTGTATGTCTGTTAATTTGTTGCCTAAATTAGAAAACCATTAAATTCCCAACCTTTACCTCTCAACTGCTAAGCATTTTGTTGATTCCATAGACAATGGAGAAATGTTTCTCAAAGCACAGTCCAAGGACCACCAGCATAAAAACAGTACTTCACCCTTAATGAGAGAGCAAAAAGCACTTCACAAACTCTAAATCTCAGTGTAAATGTAAGGTACTATTTTTAAAAAGCTTTTATGCATGCAAGGAGCCTTAGAGACCATTTTTATCCAAAGGCATCATTTTAAAGAAGAGAACTCCGAAGCTAGAGAAAATATGACTTCTTCCCAAGACAAAGTGCAGATTTAAGATAAGAACCCAGGAATCTCAAATATATGAATAATATATTCAAAATGGAATGCTTAATTTTCTTCTCCTCATCTCACCTATCACAGTAAGTTGCATCACTGCCCGCAAAAGTTACTCAAGTGAGAAATTGAGTCATTCTTGATTCTTACTCCTCTCCAAAATTTATCTGAAGTCTCTTAACTTCTCTCCATCTTCAACACAGCCACAGTCTCTAGGGGCGCCTGGACAAAAAGGGAGAGAGGTTTGAGCCACATATTTATAATTTGCACATTTAGCATTATTTCCAAATTGAATGATGTAAGCAGATATAGATTCAGCATACAAATTAAGATTGTATAATCTTAAACATGGGCCCCATTATTGAACCACCCAGGCTGTAATGCACCATGAATAATATGTTATTATTCCCATAGTTATCTGTAACAAAAACAGATTGTATTATATTTTTATCTTAAAAGAATGAATTACTTAAATGAAAACATTTGATCTGT